CATGGGAAGAGTTACTGAAAGAGCCATAACATCTATAGGTCGCTTTCTGAGTAAGAGGACCAAGAAAAAAGTTGGCCTTGAATGTCCCATTGTGGCTCTGCACTGCAGGCAGCCCTTGCCCCTGAGGCACCCCTTCCCTGGACAGATGGAACATGTCAAACTGATGGTCAGAGATGCAGGACAAGGTCACGTTCTCTCCTGACATCACCACAGGGCTCATCAGGGCTGACAGAGAAGGTTTCTTATACAAACCTGGAAGAAAAGAGGCAGAGACAGTTAGAGGGGCAGCTCCTTACCAGTGTTTATTTCCTCCTCATTGCTCTCTCCTCCTTCCTGATCTCTGATCTCTCTCTGTCTATCTGTCTGGCTGTCTCTGTACTGCCTTTATTTCTCCTTTTTTCTACTTCCTGATTTTCCCCTCTCTTTCTTACCTCCTAAATTGTTTAATGGAGGCTCTGAATTCAGTCCTACAACTATACATTGTACCCCATTTTTTGCTTTTTGCCAGTGTCTGCCTCTATATGCATTGGTTCATACCATCTGTGTTTTTAAGTTTGTTTTCATTAACATGTTAACTTTATATAGCTATTGAATGCCTTATCAAATTTTCTTGTATAGATAATGCATGAGTGTATTTATTTTCAATAAAAACTTGAAATTAAAATATAATTAAAAATTTTCTGGCCTCTTTTTCTTTAAGTGATGTCTCATATATATTTATATATGTAATGTGGATCATATTTATGCTGTTATTCACTCTTGTCCACAAACTTCCACTGATTCCATTATGTTATATTTTGTCCTTTCAGTTTTTCCAAATGTTTTGTCAATCAATTCTTTTAATTAGAGGCACAAGTTATTTTGTTTTAATTAGAGTGCAGTGTAATGGATTTCGTTAAGTCATCCTCAGAGAGTTCTTCCTGGTTCCCTCACTTGTACCACCTTTGCTGGTCCTTTCCCCCCTTTTACTCTTCCATGGCATGTGTATTCCACCTCTTTCCCCATC